CGATATAATTAGAAAAGAACTGAAAGCAAGTTTTAACCCAGACGGAAATACGAGACAGTGATAAACAACATTATTAATATAAGCTTAGTCGTTTAGAATATTTGTAAGGAAGTATTGTTTTTTTAAGTGTAAAAGAGACGCAGACTATAAAAGAATCGAATTGCTCCAAGAACATTACTTGGAGCAATTCGATTTGAATCTACAAACTTTATGTAATGCTATCAAGACAGAGCATTTATCATGAATCAGGGTGAACCAGGATACAGGTAAAGATAACTTTCACTGAACCAGATTTAATAGTTCACCGGAATCACTTGAATTTGCTGAGGAGATTAATAATTAACACAGGAATTATCCCAGGAGACAAATTCCTGGGATAAATTCCCGTGCCTTATTGTAAACTCATGCGAACACATTTTTCTTAAGAAAAGAGTAGCAAACGAAATTTTCGGTATTCAGTTATAAGTTTATTTTGTCGTCTGTAAGCCTGTAAAACTATTGGAGCAGCGTACTGTAAATTATTGCAAGACGGAAAGTGAGACGAAAACTTGAGAAACCAACAAGAACTGTGGACTGTGGGGTATTAAACAAAATACAACGGTTCATTAAAACGTTTAAAAAAGTAGTTAAACAACTGACCAAGTTCCTTCTGTTCCATCTGCTAGCAGGGACCGTATCAAAGTTATTAAGATTTAAACGTTTCAAGCCAAAAGCCGACATATATGGGAGAGTAGATATGAGAGAAAAGGAAGGTGATATAGTAACCATGGTTACTAAGGTAGAGTAGAAAAGGAAGGTGATATTGTGCAGAGAGCTGATGACAGCTGATGAGAGCATACAATATACTGTATTGCACTGTATCTCGTACAGAGGTAATGAGGGGGAAGCAGTGCGAGTGTGTCCCACAAGTGTGTCCCACCGTGCAAGTGTGTCCCACAAGTGTTTCCCACGAGTGTGTCCCACGAGTGTGTCCCACGAGTGTGTCCTACCAGTGTGTCCCACCAATGTGTCCCACCAGTGTGTCCCACCAGTGTGTCCCACCAGTGTGTCCCACCAGTGTGTCCCACTGTGCGAGTGTGTCCCACGAGTGTGTCCCACCGTGCGAGTGTGTCCCACGAGTGTGTCCCACAAGTGTGTCCCACTGTGCGAGTGTGTCCCACTGTTCTGTTTCTACCAAATTTCAGCTACATTTTTGGTTACGCCTGGTGAAGCGAGATATGAAGCCTTGAGTAGCCGAGTAGGGGAACGTTGCAGTATTTAATCGTTTTTGTTTACTAATCTGTCTGTTTCTAGGCTGGCTTTCAATTAAGTTCAATCAATTAAAAAGTTTGGATTTCTTTCACGTTTTCAAATAGAAGAATCCGGCTGGCGTCAGAACACCAGCCCATGGATTATTATGAGCCTTGGCCCAATTCTTATTACAGAAAACAAAATGTTTGGGTAACTAAGCAACAAAGCAAAAGATTAAAACGATAAAATGACGGATTTATCGCCTCAAAGAAACAGATAGAAGGTTTAAATTAAGACTCAAGTTACCGGACAATGATATCACTAGACTGGAGATGATTTCATCGCAGTCCGGAGACCCCACATATTAGCGACACGTCTTGTTGACGTGATACCAGCTCCAGTCAAATGAACCGCTCTATGAGTCTATGACGGAACTGTTCGCTAATAATATTATCTGATTTAGGTAGAATCCTTTGATCGCGGTTAAATGATACTGCGGATAATAATAAATTAGTGGTTATCAGAGGGGGTTAAAGTTCAGAAACTATTTAAAACTAGAGATAATTAAATGTGCTAAAAAGCGGTTCAATAATACCCTCCCTGGCTGATAAAACTGTACAAACTTTAAATTATAATTAATTTAACTTAAATACAGATCGTATAACAATGCCCTCTGTGTTTTGTGATTGTTAGTTTGGCATCTTGATGACGATAGTGACCTGCAAATTGCAATCTCAGGGCTGTTCAGTGGGAATTTGGCAGGAAATACGTCAGAGACTTTTGGGAAACTCAGTAATCTGAGAAGAATAATATTCTGGAATGGGAGGGAGGGTGGTACACTTTGTAATTAATGGTCGTTAGTGTGGAATCTGCTGTAGGTGATATGTGTTATCTTCGTTTACATATTATGTGTATTGAAGGTCTGCCCTAATTTCATGTTGGATTTATTTCCGAGACTCCCCAGTAAGCCAGTACAAATGTCTCTGTTATATTTAAATACACAAGTAAGATTGAGCCTTGAAGGGTTTATAATATGTAACATCAGTGTACTGTTTATCGTTTTTGCTCCGGAAAACGTGCAAAACTTAAATTTACTAAACTGTAGTGGACCGTGAAATATTAAAGAAGTGAGAAAGGACTGGGATGAAGAGACAAGAAGTACAGGAATTACTTCAACCTCTCTCGGATCTAAGTTGGATCTGGAAATGGACAAACTTTCAAAGTGCAAAACATAACCAAATTACAAAACACTCAAGAGGGTTGCAACTGAACAGGTTTAAAAATATATAGCGACAAACTAGCAGCTAGGGGAATCCCCGGAGTTAGAAAACGGAGAATCACATAAAGTGGAGACATAAAGTACAAGAAACAACCTTGCAGTACAACTACAAGAAAACCTCACAAAATCAGAGAACCTAGCACTATAGCAATGCAGGAGAACTTAGAGAATCAGAAGATTCTAGCAGTACAAGATAACTTAGCTGTAAACTTTCAGTAAACGAGAACCCAAAAAATCAGGAGACATAGGTATTTGCAGCGGTAAAAGAGAATCAGGAGAAATAGAGAGAGGTACGGGACGGTACCAGTACACACCCCTAGCTGCTCGCTGAGTACTGTCCCCGCGAACATGTCTCCGCCGTATTGGAGTTCCAAGGTGACGACAGTTAATTAACCTTCTTGTTTAAAACCCAGGATCGTATTAGGGTGTCAGTAGTTACCATAGAAACAGAGTACCAAGGTACACACAAATAATGTTAGAGCGGGCCCTGTTTTAACTGTTAAATATATCTTCGTAACACGGATCTCAGGAAAACATAAGCGTGTTCAAATAAACAGTAAGCATATTTAAAGTCGGGAAGGTCGGGAAAACACCACGTGATGCCCAAATAAGGAGAGGTAAAAGCACCACGTGATGCCCAAATAAGGAGAGGTAAAAGCCAGCATGCGGGTTATAACCAAGAACAAACAACACGGGTCCTAACGAATCTGTACAAATATAGGTTGCAGTGATTCCCGGCGAATCTGTACAAGGTTTTTGGAACGATTTACGAGATTTTACTGTAGGTTAACACTATACTTATCAATTTGTACACAAGATTTAACTGATATGTATGTTGACACGGTATATACGCTTATGTAAGCAGTATTGATGGTATAAATAGTGAGTACAATGTTTACTGTGACATAAGCTAAATAGTGAGTACAATGTTTAATGTGACATAAGCTAAATAGTGAGTACAATGTTTAATGTGACATAAGCTAAATAGTGAGTACAATGTTTAATGTGACATAAGCTAAATAGTGAGTACAATGTTTAATGTGACATAAGCTAAATAGTGAGTACAATGTTTACTGTGACATAAGCTAAATAGTGAGTACAATGTTTACTGTGACATAAGCTAAATAGTGATTACAATGTTTAATGTGACATAAGCTAAATAGTTAGTACAATGTTTACTGTGACATAAGCTAAATAGTGAGTACAATGTTTACTGTGACATAAGCTAAATAGTGAGTACAATGTTTACTGTGACATAAGCTAAATAGTGAGTACAATGTTTACTGTGACATAAGCTAAATAGTGATTACAATGTTTACTGTGACATAAGCTAAATAGTGAGTACAATGTTTAATGTGACATAAGCTAAATAGTGATTACAATGTTTACTGTGACATAAGCTAAATAGTGAGTACAATGTTTAATGTGACATAAGCTAAATAGTGATTACAATGTTTACTGTGACATAAGCTAAATAGTGAGTACAATGTTTACTGTGACATAAGCTAAATAGTGATTACAATGTTTACTGTGACATAAGCTAAATAGTGATTACAATGTTTACTGTGACATAAGCTAAATAGTGAGTACAATGTTTAATGTGACATAAGCTAAATAGTGAGTACAATGTTTAATGTGACATATGGTGGGGGTGTTGTAATGTTAGAGGGTGTTTTTATGTAAATCATAGAACATTTTATGTTCTTATTTAAAAATAAATCTCTAAATTATAGAATGTTCTAGAACCATTATAAGTACTGTAAGATAAGAAACCGAAAGTGGGGAAGATTCAATACGGTATGTTTAAAAAATAATCGTATATAAATATAAGTAATTTGTTTTAAATTAAAAAAAGTAAACCAAAATAAAGAAGTAATTTGTTAAAAAAAGTAAACCAAAATAAAGAAGTAATTTGTTAAAAAAGGTAAACCAAAATAAAGAAGTAATTTGTTAAAAAAAGGTAGACCAAAATAAAGAAGTAATTTGTTAAAATAATTAAGCTAAAATAAAGAAATAATTTGTTAAAAAAAGGTAAACCAAAATAAAGAAGTAATTTGTTCAAAAAAGTAAACCAAAATAAAGAAGTAATTTGTTTAAAAACGTAAACCAAAATAAAGAAGTAATTTGTTTAAAAAAGTAAACCAAAATAAAGAAGTAATTTGTTTAAAAAAGTAAACCAAAATAAAGAAGTAATTTGTTTAAAAAAATAAACTAAAATAAAGAAGTAATTTGTTTAAAAAAGTAAACCAAAATAAAGAAGTAATTTGTTTAAAAAAATAAACTAAAATAAAGAAGTAATTTGTTTAAAAAAGTAAACCAAAATAAAGAAGTAATTTGTTAAAAGAAGGTAAACCAAAATAAAGAAGTAATTTGTTTAAAAAAGTAAACCAAAATAAAGAAGTAATTTGTTAAAAAAGGTAAACCAAAATAAAGAAGTAATTTGTTTAAAAAATTAAGCTAAAATAAAGAAGTAATTTGTTTAACCCCCTAGGAAGCAGCTATTACAAGCGTGCTGAAATACGGAGTAGGATCTTGTGGTCCTAGAGGCTTCTACGGAACTATTGGTAACTATAGCAACCTTACCTCTGCAGTTTCAAATTTTAAAAATCTATTCACGGTTGTTTTTAATTATATTCTAAAATATTCCAAATTTTGGCTAAATATCTCAATTTATCTCTACTATAATTCAGAGAATTATTTCTGATGTAGAATGTCTGTATGTACGACCGCCCACGTGCAAATTAGATGAAAAATAGGAATTTAGGTAACAACCAAAACGTTCCATAGCAACGGTGTTTTAATGCACACATGCACGTGCAAAGATTGTTTTAACGTCATTTTTATCGGTTTTGTGGTAATTACGTTGTGTTTAAAGTGTTTTATATTTAAATCGACTGTATCTTTGGTTGGGATGGATATTTTTTGATGCGATTAAAACTTTCTTTCAAAGAATACTACTAGCTTCGTCCCTGTTACCACGGGCTTTCTAGTTTATAATAAGGTACAATTATTTAAAACAAGTTAATGTAATAAACTCGACCACCCCATCCCCAGATGTACATTTACTGTTGGAGGAGAAATTGGCCCAGTATATGGAATGCGAGGAAGCTATCATCTACAGTTACGGTTTCGCCACAGTTGCCAGTGCAATCCCTGCTTACAGCAAACGAGGCGACATCATATTTTGGTAAGGACACTTAGATCTAGGATTCTAGAGGGCTTTGGTGCTTATCAACATTTTCAGATCGTAAAAATCATCAAGCCGCGGTTTAGTCTAGGATTTTCAGCAATAAACAAGCGATCAAAAGATTGGACTATATTAATGATAATGATGGAGTGAATATTTATTAACATATATGTAATATATTATATTTACACACTGTAACCATATTAAATGCAAGATTAACTCTGCAACATTAACTAGATCATCTCAACAATTTTCTGAAGAAAAAATCATTTCTATATAAAATATATAGATATACCACTAGCAAGGTGCGATGCAGTAAGTGGGCCACCTAGAGATCCTTGATAATACAAATAATCTAAATATATATAATATAACATACGTAATATAATATAATATAATATGATATAAATATATATATAATATAATAATTAATATATAAATAATATAACTGCTGTCGCACATAGTAGTTCAGTGAGTACAAGGTCTAAAACAGTAAATAGCAATGAATAGATTATAGTGAATAGATTACGGTGTAAGTTATAACCTTTTATTAGTTAATACAAGCTTAAACTTTAATGTGGCGCGCCGGTTATTTAAAGGGTACCGCGACAATTGACCCCCCGACAATTGACCCCCCGACAATTGACCCCTATGTAATTACACTGGGGTCAATTGTCGCGAAATATAGGGCTGAGTACGACAATTGACCCCCCGACAATTGACCCCCCATGTAATTACACTGGGGTCAATTGATCGGGTTAGGGTCAGGGTCAGGGTCCTGGATCAGGATCCTGGGTCAGGGTCAGGGTCAGGGTCAGGGTCAGGGTCAGGGTCAGGGTCAGGGTCAGGGTCAGGGTCAGGGTCAGGGTCAGGGTCAGGGTCAGGGTCAGGGTCAGGGTCAGGGTCAGGGTCAGGGTCAGGGTCAGGGTCAGGGTCAGGGTCATGGTCAGGGTCAGGGTCAGGGTCAGGGTCAGGGTCAGGGTCAGGGTCAGGGTCAGGGTCAGGGTCAGGGTCAGGGTCAAGGTCAGCCGGGGGGTCAACTGTCGGGGGGTAAATTGTCGGGGGTCAATTGTCGGGGGGTTAATTGTCGGGGGTCAATTGTCGGGGGGTCAATTGTCGGGGGGTCAATTGTCGCCCACCCATTTAAAGAAAAAGGATGATCCGTCGCCTAGAAACAAAGCACCGATCTGCGGAGTGTGGGTTTTTGAGCTAATTTTCTTAATTTATTGTGAAATAAGTGTGGTCCGAAAAAGAGGATGTAGATTGTAGGACGTGAAAAAAAGTTTGGGAAATTTGCTTTCAGGATTGAAATCTAACAATTACGTAGATGATAAATCTAGTCAAGTTACCTTGATATAATATTATATATTAATTTATGTGAAACTGAAACTTCTTCCACCAATTAGAGGAAAGTTTCCTCTCTTCCCATCGATAAATATCCCTGATTTTTTTTTCAGGGTCAAAACCTTGTTGATGATTTTTTCTCTTGATTTGTTGGTGCAAAATGAACTGGTTGAATTTCCAGTAAATCTAAAACTCAAATACATCACACCTGTTTATGTGATACCGAAACTAGAAACCAGTAACTGGAGGTTTATCGAAATAGTTTTCGAAGGTTTACATACACCTCACAATATCCACCCTAACTCTACTTGACCCACCCACACTCAATATCACAGTGGTTACCACTAGTTACACACTGTAACCATGGTAACTACTTGACACACACTCAATATCACAGTGGTTACCACTAGTTACACACTGTAACCATGGTAACTACTTGACCCACACTCAATATCACAGTGGTTACCACTAGTTACACACTGTAACCATGGTAACTACTTGACACACACTCAATATCACAGTGGTTACCACTAGTTACACACTGTAACCATGGTAACTACTTGACACACACTCAATATCACAGTGGTTACCACTAGTTACACACTGTAACCATGGTAACTACTTGACACACACTCAATAGTCAATATCACAGTGGTTACCACTAGTTACACACTGTAACCATGGTAACTACTTGACCCACATTCAACATCACAGTGGTTACCAGTAGTTACACACTGTAACCATGGTAACTACTTGACCCACACTTCAACATCACATCGTTAGTAATTCTGTTAGGATATTATAATTACCTCCAGTAACTTTAATAGGTGTAAGTTTTAACAAAACAGATAACAGGTCGTTAAATACAAAATATAATGAGTTAGAATTACGTTTATGGATCGCCAGAATCTAAGATCAAGAGCAACTGTAACACTGACCGTATTCCAGTGATAAGGTGCAATAACACTGACGATATTAATATTTCAGCGATGAAGAAGTGTGCTACGCGATACAGAAAGGCATCCTAGCTTCACGTAGTACTGTTTATTACTATAAACACAACGACTTAGACCATCTTGTAGAACTGCTGGAGATTCAGGCTACTAAAGATAGAAAGGTTGGTGGTTCAACAGCAGTTTAATTACAATTCTCACTCCGCAAAGTTATTTTAGTTTAATTACTGGTCCTACTTTGCTTAGTTTTTGGCAGCAATGAGCAATTTTGGGGCAACCGAAAATGTACCTTTATTTTTGGAATCATAAATTGGAAGTCAAGATGTCCGTTTTGAATTTGAACTTTGTCCAGTGTTGTTAGCGCATGTCCTAGAAATGCCATTATAAGTACCTCTGCTAACACATTAGTTATAAATAATAATAATATACAACAATACAATAATATAATATAAACACTAACACATCCCTCTGTACAGAACCCAAAGAAAGCCAGGGTAACGAACAGGTTCCTGGTAACGGAGGGACTTTTCATCAACACTGGACAAATCACCAACCTTCCCCGACTGGTGAGTAATCAAGTAACTAGTGTTACCATGGTTACTGGTGAGTAATCAAGTTACTAGTGTTACCATGGTTACTGGTGAGTAATCAAGTTACTAGTGTTACCATGGTTACTGGTGAGTAATCAAGTAACTAGTGTTACCATGGTGTTACCATGGTTACTGGTGAGTAATCAAGTAGTTACTAGTGTTACCATGGTTACTGGTGAGTAATCAAGTAACTAGTGTTACCATGGTTACTGGTGAGTAATCAAGTTACTAGTGTTACCATGGTTACTGGTGAGTAATCAAGTTACTAGTGTTACCATGGTTACTGGTGAGTAATCAAGTAACTAGTGTTACCATGGTGTTACCATGGTTACTGGTGAGTAATCAAGTAGTTACTAGTGTTACCATGGTTACTGGTGAGTAATCAAGTAACTAGTGTTACCATGGTTACTGGTGAGTAATCAAGTAACTAGTGTTACCATGGTTACTGGTGAGTAATCAAGTAACTAGTGTTACCATGGTGTTACCATGGTTACTGGTGAGTAATCAAGTAGTTACTAGTGTTACCATGGTTACTGGTGAGTAATCAAGTAACTAGTGTTACCATGGTGTTACCATGGTTACTGGTGAGTAATCAAGTAGTTACTAGTGTTACCATGGTTACTGGTGAGTAATCAAGTAACTAGTGTTACCATGGTGTTACCATGGTTACTGGTGAGTAATCAAGTAGTTACTAGTGTTACCATGGTTACTGGTGAGTAATCAAGTAACTAGTGTTACCATGGTGTTACCATGGTGACGAACAGGTTCCTGGTGGGTAATCAAGTGTACTGTTTGCTTATTTGGGCTGATTTACTGTTGTAACTTTTTGGAGCATGTTGTATAAGAGTATAATAAGATATCGTCATATCGTGGCAGATCCTATTTTTCTCGTGCTGTTTAGAAAAGTGAGAAAGGTTAAAGATAAATCAGACGTACTAATCAAACAATCCTCATCTCATTAAACTATATAAAAAAATAAGTATAAAGAATAAGGAAAAGGAACGGGAATGAAGCCAATACCAGAAGTGAAACCCCACCAAAGAATAATTGATCCTTAGGTAGACCTGGTGAAATAAAGTAACTGAACTGTAAGTTTAAGAAAAGACGGAAGGAATACAGGAGAGAGGAAATAATGTTATGTGAACATCATCAGCAGATGACTTGGCACACCGGTTTCGGGGGTTTAATACCTGTACCGGTTTAATGTGCCAAGACCCCCTAGCAATCACTCGTCAGTGATCACCTGTTCACGTTAAATGTGATGTCAAGGATGTCGCTGACATCAAGTATACTGTATTTGTACAGAATACTAGGTCGGTCTTTCAGAAGCTTTCTGAATTTACTCTTCAGGAGTCTGTCATTATAACATCTTGAAAGAAGTGTCCTATAAAGGGTGTTGGTAGAACACAGAAAAGAATCAAGGTCAGAGATAATGGAAGAGTAACGAAGGACCTGACCGTAAAAAACATTATAACCAACAGAAGAGGAAATATTACTGTTAGGAAAGGTGTACATGACCACAGGAAAGTTGAAGTCATCAAGTTTGTTGTAAAGCTTGGTGGCGACGTGTCCGGAGTTATTCATCGAGATGTTGATGTCGAGATAGTTTACGGACTTATTGTCGTCACCACTCCTCTCCATAAGCAGGTCAGGTGGATAAATGGACCTGATTAGGTTAGAGAAATGCAAATAGTTCATGGTGTTGAGGTCGTCGACATATCTGCAGTTTCTTGAGAGGAGCTTAGCGAGACCGAACTTCTTTTCTTTGATTAGGCGTGTCATGTAGTTGAATTCACACTTCCCTAGCGAAAGATCAGCGAACTGGCTACTAGAATTCCCTCCCATGGGAATGCCTTTCGTTTGTCTTAAAATCTGATCCCCAAAACAAACAAAAGTGTTAAACAGAATAAATGTAATAGCTGTTTTGAGTTTATCAGCAGAAAAACATAAGTATCCGTTATATTCCTTTTTAGAGAAAAAATTGTTGTTCTTATACAGAGAAACACAAATAAATTTATTCGTATTACTAAAGAGGAGATCTATTAGCTCGAAAAGCAGTGACTGTACAACCTGAAGGTCTAGATTGGTATACAGAGTGGTAAAGTCGTATACCTGCATATTAAAAATCTCTAGTCTAGGCAGCCTTTCCAGGAACTGTTTAGAGCTGTTAATGCTCCAGTCGCAGTTAATTCCAGTATTGTTGTAGATAGAGTTGCAGTATTTGGAAAAGTATTCTTTTAAAACTTTTAAAGCTTTGTTGACTACAACTGATATCTGCTTAGTGGTACATTTACTGGCCCCAGCTATAAATCTAGACTTATAAGGATTCTTGTGAAGTTTAGGAATCCAAAAGATTCTCGGTAGACAAAGGTTGTCCTCAGAAACACGAATATTAAAGTTATCTTTAATGAAGTTCACATGTTCCTGAATAATATCATCCTCTACAGAGTTAACCGGATGATAAGTAGAATTGCCACGACACTCTAGAGAAGTGAGATCGTAGCCAAGTTCGTTGAGAAGGGTTAAAAGATAAAACTTCTTGCAGACAAAAACATAATTATTTGAAGCTTTATCTACGGAGCAAATAATAAAAGAAGAAGAAAGACTGTCGAGATAAGATTTAACATCATCCCTTTGTAGAATGGAATTGTAGGGAGTGAAGTTATTAGGGGAGGAGGAGAGGAAGTTAAGGCGATTGGTGAAGATCCGGGAGACCTCATCTTTCCAATCCTGGAATTCCAAACATGAAAGTCCATGTTTCCTAGCCATACGGGTGGCGAAGTTGGCTGAACACTCGTTGAGGCTCTCCAAGATTTGCTCAGGAGGAACAGACACAGGTTCCCTAAATTTGGTACCGTAACTCATGATGCCTCTTAAATCCTCGTGCTCAATGAAAGCAAGGTCACCGGTGATGATGTGGCCTCGAGGCTGATAGCAATAAGGGTTACTGGAACAGGGGCAATCACCTTCCAGGATGGAGGAAATAGTAGTATTATCAAGTGATTTAAGGAATCTATTATAATTAAAAAGCTTACGCCCGACAGGAATATCGTACTTATAGTAAACTTTTAAGGGAAGGAAAGGCGTAAGGTTTGGAGGGAGAAGAGTCAAGATCCTAGAGTCACGAATGACTGATTCTATTCGGAGTTTATCAAATATTTTAGAACAATAGTGAAAAGTGATAAACTCGCTATTAACAGAGGTGATATTAGGAGAAGAAGTGCTGTCTTGGCCAGCAAAAGATTGTATAACAAGGAAAATGGCTCCAGATTTGCAGAGGGAATGAGAGCTAAGTTGCTTGAGCTCGCCTTTTTGAAGGCTACTTATATCTTTATAAAAGCTGTATTTGCTTTCAGACATTTTTCTTTTTAAACTTTCATATTTATTGTCAATCTCTCTTAAAGTGAGAGTCCTTTTGTATATTCTATCTTCATGGCTTTTGTTTTTCTTTTTTCTGCCATGTCCTCTTTTATATCTTTTTATTTTACTTTTAAAATAAATATCGTTAAAGTTGCTTTTAGAAATATTACCAGAACCTTTTATGTTGTCATTGAGACCTAGAGGGTGAGCAGTGCTCAGGAGATTAATCCAAAGAAGTTCCCTGTCAGCTAAGGCCAGACGAGGGTCTTCAGTAGAGGAAGGGTCAATAAAATCAATAATTTGAATGGAGGCGTCATGAAAATTATGACCGGGAGTATTAAAGTGGTCATGGACAAAGGAGGATTTGCCGGCTTTAACCGAAGCACGGTGTCCATTCATGCGTTCATTAAGGCGCTGTTCTGTGAGCCCAACATATTGAATACCACAAGAACAAGTGAGGAGATAGATAATAGAAGAAGATTTACAAGAAAAGGATTCAGAGTGAGTTAACATGAAAGAATTATTAGTAACGTAACTGGTGAAAATATTACTTGACCTGAATGGTTTACAGGTGAGACATCTTGACTTATTACACGGTGTTATATCAGGGGAAATAATACTGTTGGGATGAATCCAAGTGTTGGATGTGATGTTATATATTTTATTTCCTTTCTTAAGTCAAGAATTTACAGGACAAACTTAACAGCCGACTCCAACTGAAAAAGCCCTGGGAACCATCACCAACCAGATGCCTTGGGGCTGCCAAGGTTAAGCGGGCGTTAGGTGACATGAACTAATGTTCTCCCACTGTCACAGTGCAGCCAAGCAGAGTGCTGTTGTTCCAAGAACACTCTTTATAACCGGATCACACACTGCCGCTGCTTCTCGTACCGTAGCTAGGGCGGGCAGCTCACGCCCCTGTTTGGTCTAAGGAACAGAAAACATGAAGGGAAACACTCCTGAAGAACTGTGCAAAAGGGGGTAATAATATCAAAAAAAGGGCCAACTAGCAAAAACTAAGGACGTAAATCATATAATAACAAGCTATCACTTGGCGCATCCGGCAGGGCGGAGGAACCGCCACACACTTTCAACAGTGATACAAATTGCAATCTCATTAAACTATATAAAAAATAAGTATAAAGAATAAGGAAAAGGAACGGGAATGAAGCCAATACCAGAAGTGAAACCCCACCAAAGAATAATTGATCCTTAGGTAGACCTGGTGAAATAAAGTAACTGAACTGTAAGTTTAAGAAAAGACGGAAGGAATACAGGAGAGAGGAAATAATGTTATGTGAACATCATCAGCAGATGACTTGGCACACCGGTTTCGGGGGTTTAATACCTGTACCGGTTTAATGTGCCAAGACCCCCTAGCAATCACTCGTCAGTGATCACCTGTTCACGTTAAATGTGATGTCAAGGATGTCGCTGACATCAAGTATACTGTATTTGTGCAGAATACTAGGTCGGTCTTTCAGAAGCTTTCTGAATTTACTCTTCAGGAGTCTGTCATTATAACATCTTGAAAGAAGTGTCCTATAAAGGGTGTTGGTAGAACACAGAAAAGAATCAAGGTCAGAGATAATGGAAGAGTAACGAAGGACCTGACCGTAAAAAACATTATAACCAACAGAAGAGGAAATATTACTGTTAGGAAAGGTGTACATGACCACAGGAAAGTTGAAGTCATCAAGTTTGTTGTAAAGCTTGGTTATTGATTTAAAGTTGCAACTGTTTATTCAAACACACAGCACGTCTTGTTGTACAACTAAATGTAAATACGGCCGAATTTAGCAACACAACCTGAACTAATTGGGGTACATAAACGAACAAAATGGCACTGAAATCACAATGGCCTGAACTCTCTAGCGTGCTGTAGATCTCAAATCTCAAGCACCGTTTAAAACTACCAACGAAGAGTCTGCTCTCCCAAATAAAAGA